CTGTAAATAGAGTATATTTGTATGGGAATGTGTTTTGTAAGCGTACTGTTCAATGTATCATAGGTCCAATTTATAGTCCCTTTATATATTAAAAGTTTGTAGCTCGTATTGTCAAAATGATACTTATACTGTCTGTTATGTGGGATTGCACTTTCGGGAATGCTTGGAATTTCGCTGGACTCTGTGTAGTGACAATAAAGGAAGCTAATCTAATCTATATGGGTGACATGATAATAAACGATGCAGATATTAAGAAGACACACCTCCCCTCTCCTCCCCACGCTCCATTGGGAGTCACCACCACCTCCCTGCAGTTGTCGGTCTGAGTGTTGTACAGCAGCAGCTTCAGAGGCTTCCCCTCGTTGGCCTCAATCAAAGAAAAGAAATCCTCTGACTGCAACACAAGCACAAAGGGATTTAACATCGAGCACTGTTTTGGTTGCACTTCATTATATCCATGTATTAGAATAGAGCTCACGTCTTGCAACACCTGGTCGGCTCCTACGATGAAGTCATCGTAAGCAATAAGGCCGGCCAAGGCTGCAGGAGAGTTGGTTTCCACATCCTGAAACAAACATGCATTTGCACTTGAAACCACTGTCTTGATTATGACTTAAGATATACAGGAAATTAAATGTGGAGATAAGACAAAAACAGATGTCAATTTGGTGGTACTAAATATCTAGGTGTTTTGTTGAATGGTTAGGAAACACGAGCTAGTCTTCAAAGAATAAAGTAGATCTGAAACATTCAACTTGTTTGATTCTCACTTCAAAGAAAGCGCTGGCTTCTTCCTCAAAGCTAAGCTGTTTTGCATCAGAGTAAAACAAAGCAGGTTAAAGAATAGCCCGGATGGACTCGACTCACCAAGACGTGCCAAACGTTCTCATTGGCTCCTTCAAAGCTGCAGAAGCGAACACTGGCCCCCAGCAGACCCTGCCCCCCCCACATGTTACTGGGAGTGACTTCCAGTTCCCTCACCCGCTGGGTTTTAGAGTTGTACACTTCTAGTTTCACCGCTTTCTCCATATTGGCCTTCAGAAGGTCTTTCAGCAGGTCGCCCTCTTTGCTCTGGAGAAACAAGAGAAATGTTAACGACTGCAGCCTCGACGGTGTGGAGAGGGTGGGCCGGGTTTCATGTGAAAACAACACGAAAGGAGATTTCAGCATAATGTCACTTTTCTCCTGTGATTGTTGCACTTTGCTTGGTGCAGGCTTTTATATCTGTTCATCAACAATAGTGGTTGATATCAGGCCTTTTGCAGCTAGACGTGTGCTAGATGGTTGTGCTCACTTTAACTTCCTTAAATACTGGGTGGTATATTTACAGCGATGCATCATATTATATATGATCATCATGTTTGAAGCATCTCTGTCCTTTCACTTTTCATGAGGTCAGTAAAACAGCCCTGTTTTCACATTTGTGATTTCCACTTCCTGCTAAATGTTTTTATTTTATGTATTTAGCTTAAGAAGAAGACACATTTCCTTAACAAGGTTTCATTCTTTTTTAAAACATTCAAATTATAATCCTCATGAATCATGAAGAATTGCATCCTGCAAAGTACCTACAAACTGAGGCACATTTTTCTGGCAGGAATACGCGATGTGGACACAGCTCCTAAAGTTGCATACAATCCCAAATGCTCAGGTAAAGCACAAGTACTTTGATATACTTCAGTACTTAAGTAAATGTACTTTACGCTGAGCAATTAAAACATGTATCACATAAGCTCCATCGATTCAAGTGTTTGCATTTAGATAATATGTTTACATTTGGGGAGTGGACATGCCAAACCAAATGTTACTTCACATAGAGATGACTCACGAGTCGGGTATTCCCTATGGAGAGAATGAAGTCAAAGAAAGGCTCCAGACCGGCCCTCAGAGCTGGAGAGTCCTCTTGAAGCTGAAAAAACACACCAAAGAAATTTGGTTGATTTCACAGTAAAGGGAAGAGGTGGAAGAAGTACTCAGATCTTGTACTTCAGTCAAATAAGAAGTAGCAGAGTATGAATACTCTGTTAAGTAAGAAAAGTCCTGCAATCACAATAAACCAAAGTACCAAAAGTAGAAGTACTCATTATGCAATGATCATGTTTTGAATGATCAATGATCATCAAAGTGTTATCAAAGCTGGTAAAGGTGCAGCTAGTTTAAATGACTTTGTACTCTGCAGGGTAGCTTGTGAATTTACTCCAGATGGAACTAAAGTCTGATTTAACATCATTAAACCAAATCTGCAAAGTAACTAAGGTACTGGTAGTGGAGTAAAAGTACACCATTTTCCTCTGAATTATAGTGGGGTAGAAGTATAAAGTAGTAAAACATTGAAATACTCAAGTAAAGCACAAGTACCTCGAAATTGTACCCAAGTATAGTGAGTACATTTACTTTGTTACTTTGCACATGGCAGCTAGTACTAAAACAAAGCAGTCTCTCTCGAACTTAAACAGATTGGTTGTGAGCCAAAAGCCACCTCATCATGGGCGGACACCATTAAAGCTACCCACAGTTGGAAGTTACAGAGTTACTACACAGAATATCTTAATACATTGTGCAACTGTGTGTCTTCATAGATAAAAAAACAAAACAGGAACAATAGCATAGCCAGTTAGCTTAAAGTGGTTTAAAAAGATATACAAAGTGAGTGTTGTTTATAACCTTGCACTACGTACCCCATGAACATGATATCCACTAGAAGTTCCTCCATCCGACAGAAACGAGCTCTGCGACACCCCCATCGTCTTCAACAGTTAGTAATACGAACACAGTCTTCAAGTCACTGAGGTAGAGATGTGTTTGAAGTCATTACTGACGGACACAAATGTTTAAAGCTAAAGCTAGCTTAGCGCAAAACGCAGGTTGACAGCAGTCTCAGAGAGCTAGGCAAAGCTAATAAATAACGATGCCAGAGAAATCGAGCTGGAGCTCGATTAGCCGTCCTTGACTGGGTGTTCTATGTGGTTGCTGGGCAACAGACAACACTGGCGTAGAAATCATGGACATTTGACGTTGTACGTAATACATAAATTATATGGGACGTTTGAAGCTTGATATTGTGTACAATGTGACGAAAACAAAGCCTATTTTGATATCTTTTAATTCAACTCATCACTAGCTTTACCCAATGGTGGAAGAAGTACTCGGATATTTTACTAGTAGGCCTACACAGTAAAAATCCGGAGTGTTAATTTAACACTGAGATAAGGACCATATGTTCACTGGCAGTGTTAAAATGGACCCTTTAAGTGTTAAATTAACACTTGTTAAATTAACACTTAAAGGGAGGGATTTAAGTGTTAAATGAACACTTAAAGACTCAATTTTAACACAGAGCTAGTGAACATATGATCCTTATCTCAGACTCAGTGTTAATTAACACTCCGGATTTTACTTTGTAGAAGTAGAAAAAAGTGTAAAAATACTCAGTTACAAGTAGAAGTCCTGCATTTAAAAACGTACTTAAAGTATTGGCATCAAAATATACTTTAAGTACCAAAAGTAAAAGCACATAGGCCTACTCAGCTTAATGTCCCATTCAGGAATCGTTCTAAATGATTCCTTTTGCTGCAATAATCTCACAGCTGGTAAAAGTGGAGCTACTTTTAATTACTTGAGTAAACACTATACACCACTGGCTTTACCTTCAGTTAAGCTCCATAGCTTCCATAAAGTTACAATGAAACAGAGAATTAACAGCAGGTATACTGCATTTAGGTTTAGGGCATTTGGGGCATGAGGGTTATTTGCATAATACTTGATGTTTGTTATACACACATTAACATCTGTATTTTCACCCGAATACGGATCTGCAAAATGTCCAATACTGATAGCGTGCTGTGGAACATTGTATCCTTCCCATGGTTATTGACCTGCCTTAGTTATCTCGACATTTTGTTAGAGCCGATAGTTGAAATTGGCTGCATGTGAACGCATCTGCTCTTTTCCCACCATGATGAAATGTTGTCTAAAGAAATTCCTAAATGAATAAAAGTGCCATTAAAACGACTATATAACCAAATATATTTATAAATAGACCTAGATTTTAAGAGATTTATAGGGTTGCTGAAGTGTTTGCCTTACCATAAGAAAATCATACATTTGATTAGGATTCATCCACATGTGCTGAAGTTGGCAGGTATCTTAGTGGTTACCTAATACCTCCTGGAAGTCTTCCAGTGTCAAAATGATATAAATAGGTAAAATCAAACGATATCTGGTTGTCAGAGCTCAAACATGATTCGTCTTGTGGCTTTCCTTTCCTGCATTGGTAAATATATTCCCCAAAACATATTTTCAGTGCTGTTTTGTGCACATTTAACTGTACTGTCTCCAATCTCACGTGTGCACCAAAGGGCTGATTTGTGCTGAAACACCTTTCAACCATAAGGTGCACAATGAGAGGGTCATAGGAGGCAATGACGCCAAACCAAACACCTGGAGATGGCAGGTATGAGCACTATTTTAAAACATTATTTATACAGATTGAATGTAATGTGACGCTAGTATTTTTTACTTTATATCCTTTGGGTAAATAGGCTTCCTTTTAATCTGACCTCATTATGCTGATAGATTTCTGATATAACATTGTCTTTTTGGTATCAGTGTGTATTTTATTCTCTGTTTTTCTGCTCAATCATGCAGAATTATAGGCCAATTTCAAACCTACCTTTCTTGGGTAAAATTATAGAAAAAGCTGTTTTCCATCAACTCAATTTTTTTTGGCACAAAATAACTGCTTTGATGCTCTCCAGTCTGGATTCAGAGCCCATCACAGCACTGAGACCGCACTTATGAGGGTTTTAAACGATATATATTTAAACAGACAAGGGACAAATCACTATTTTGGTACTGCTGGACCTCAGTGCCGCTTTTGATATTACTGGACAGACTAGAAAACTGTGTTGGTTTATCTGGCAAAGCACTTAATTGGCTCAAATCGTATCTGCAGGACAGGGACTTCTTTGTGTCTGTTGGTTCTTTTAAATCGCAAGAAACTGCAATGACTTGTGCAGTTCCCCAAGGGTCGATTCTTGGTCCAATTCTTTATATACATGCTTCCACTAGCCCAGATCCTAAAAGTTAACAAAATGTCATACCACAATTATGCAGATGACACTCAGTTATACATGACAATAAAGCCTGGCGACTACGGACCATTACAATCCCTCACCAACTGCATGGAACAAACCAGTAGCTGGATGAGCAACAATTTCCTACAATTAAACAAAAACAAAACAGAAACAATTATCTTTGGTGCCAAAAGGGAGGAACGGGCTGAAGTAAGCGCTAAACTAGAAGCCCTACTGCTAAATACATCGGAAAAGGTGATAAATCTAGGCGTAGTTCTGGACCCCGACCTCCATTTCAAATCCCACATCAACACAATTACTAAATGGGCTTACTATCACCTGAAAAACATAGCCAGACTTAGAACATTCATGTCTCAACAACACCTTGAAAAACTAGTTCACGCCTTTGTTTTTAGCAGGCATGGCTCTGTAATGTATTTACAGGTCTCTGTAAAAAATCGGTTAGAAAACTACAACTAATCCAGAACGCCGCTGCCAGAGTCCTGACCAAAACAAGTCAAACAAATCACCCCAGTACTCAGGTCTCTGCACTGCACATAGCTTACAGAACCGATTTTAAAATTATATTGTTAACTTATAAAGCATTAAATGGTTTGGGACCCCAATATATGTCTGACATGTTGCCCAGTCACGAGCCCCCCAGAGCTCTGAGATCATCGGGGGCGGGCTTACTCATTGTTCCCCGGCTCAGAACCAAACACGCCGAAGCTGCTTTTAGTTTTTATGCTCCCCACAAATGGAACAAACTTCCAGAAAACCTGAGGTCTTCACCCACGCTGAGTTCTTTTAAGTCGAGGCTAAAAACACTAGTTTTTACAGCTGCTTACCCAGAAGCCTTTTAACTTGTTTTAGCACCAACCGTATTTACAATGTCGTTTTAAACTATTGAATATCTCATTAATGCATTGTTTTTATGAAACTGTTATTCCATTATGTTCATTTATTGTGTTCCTCTCTGTTCTAAGCACTTTGAATTGCCTCTGTGTCTGAAATGTGCTATATAAATAAACGTACCTTACCTTACCTTACCTCAGGCTTCTCTCCAGTATGATTCATACAATGATGGCTCATACTACCACATCTGTGGAGGCACTATCATTGGTAGTTTCTACATCATGACTGCAGCTCACCTGTATCCTCAGGTTTGCTCTCATACATCCAATCAATGCCACAGATCCTGTCACTCCTGTCCTGCTGATTCCCACTGTCTGCTTGTAAGTAAACACAGTGTGTCTTTGATTCTTTACGATCAGCATGGATGCTAGTGCGTACCGTGTGGTGGTGGGGGAGTACGACCTGTACGAGTACGACGGCAGTGAGCAGTTCAGCCGCGTGGACATGATTGCTGTCCATCCAGACTGGAATGAAGACCTTGCCAGAGGGTAAAGACAGCAAGTTGTCTTAGTTTCACCACTCAAAGCACCCTTTCATTGACAGTAAAGGCCCAAGGGGATAGTTACAGGGTTAAGGCATCCTCCTATGCTTTCACTTTTATGGCTACAAACCAACTGGTATTACCACTTTCCCTCATGTAGTGCTTTGAAATGCCTTGCACAAGTAGATGGAAACATGATAGTCGGGGGTACACAGCATTTCCAGGTTCTCAATAAGACTCTATGAGCTGGCAAACAGACTTGAACTTATTCCATTTTTTTATTTTCTCTATTAGAAATGACATTGCTCTCCTGAGGCTGGCGAACCCTGTGTATGATAACGGCTACGTGGCCATCGCTGATCTTCCCTACCCGGATCAGATGCTTCCTCACGGGTTCACCTGTTACATCACCGGCTGGGGACTCATGGACTGTGAGGACACACACACACACACACACACACACACACACACACACACACACACACACACACACACACACACACACACACACACACACACACACACACACACACACACACACACACACACACACACACACACAC